TTTCCCTTGATTATAGCTCTATTGGGGTTTTACAACATATACTGGTATGAAATATCATCGATCTCCATGCCAGCGAATATCACACTCGCAGGCCGGGAAACGAGAGAAGGGGCAGTGCGCACGTGTTCTTGAGGCGAGGGTCTGAGACCATGTAACTCTACGGGACGAAATACTCACTTTTCACACTAGCACTCCCTTGAAATGAAGCTATACTAATACTGGGTGGTATAAAACTATGTATGATATTTAAATATATACAGATCCTTTCCATGTATCCCATGACCATATGTTTATATATATTATTACCTCCGTTTGTTGATTTTTTTTTTTTTTTTTTTTTGTGGTTAGCAGGAAAAAAAAAGTTATGAAAATTGGAATAATGCACTACCGCATTGATATGATGAATAAATAACTTCTCCAGTAGGAACTTGAACCCTCACTCTTGCAGGCAGGAAACTGCAAGACGATAGCTGTTCTACTGAGCTACGCGATCCTCTAGTGGGTCGCGTAGCTCAGTGGTATAGCGATCGTCTTGCAGTTGCCTGCCTGCAAGAGTGAGGGTTCAAAAAGTTAGAACAGATTTTGATGAGATTTTTACCAGAGGTGTGTCTTAACCTAACGGTGGTGGTCTTGATCATGATCTGGATCCAGATTTTTTTATTCAACTCAAAAAGTTAAGAACAAGTTTTAATGATGGTTTTACCAGAGGTGTGTCTGCCTAACTTACATTACATTAAATTTTCGTGGTGATTCGAATCATTTGGCAAAACTACCCCCAATTTTAGAGGGAAGGAGTTTGCCTGTTTAAATAATTTTGCTGAAGGATGAAACTGACGAAATATGATCCAAACAGAGAAAATAAGATACTCCATTATATACAAAAATTCTTCGCTACATTTTTTTACGCTTCCCAGATTATTTAGATATTTAGATTATTCTGGAAAAATGAAGGTTGGTCTCATATTAAGTGAAATTCTATAAATTTTCTGAAAATAATCTGATTTCTGTATTGCATCTAATCGTTACGTCACAATTGCCGGTTTTCTAAGAAAAGGTGAAAAATCATATATCGAGAGTGGCTGCTACCTTCAAAATTGCGGGTGGACTTTAAAACGTTTCGGGGAGATTCGGAGGCCCTGAAACTCCTTGGAAATGCATGTAACTCAAAATCGGCAAGATGGAAGATTTGGGCCCACAAAATGGTAGACGATCCCCTTAAATTGCCTTTGATGAGACCTTTACTCTTATCTCATCTCTACCTACATACTCATAACATGGATGAGGAGTAATAAAAAAAAAAAGAAAACATGCATAACTAACATAGGCAAAGATTTGGTTAATTTTGCGAGGCGATCTTTAAAAACATTCAGCAGTTATACTGTACTTTTCCAGTGATATGTAATCAATCTAATAGTGAAGCTAACGTCGACACACGCACTTCTGCAACCCAACTCCGTTTCTAACCACAACTTTCTTGCCAAGCCGCTAAGCAGCTCTACCTATCGCAACTTCCTGAGAGATTTACCCGATTTGGCCAAGCCATTGCTCCTTTGGACCCCTGGTGGCCGGAGTTCTCCTCAGAGAGTCGAGCCAAGTGTCCGCATTGCCGGAATTATACGTTGGTTGGGCATGTAATCCTACCAACTGTACCTCATGATCCGACGGAACCAATGATAAAAGAAACAATAAACAATAATATCAATAATAATAATAGTGAAATCAAATAAACGGAGACTCTGACGCACAGGATAAAGTCCAGGTTTTGCTGCAATGCAGAGTTGGGTTCATCGGCACAGATACCATCTCCAGTGTATGTCTCTTGCCGCGAGGCCATGCCTTTTGTTGATTTTCTACTTTGAAAGCCCATACTCGACTAACAGGGTATGTAAGGCTCTGTGAGATTTCGCTGTCCTCGCTGCAAGATGTACTGTGGAAACAGGTTCTCCTGGCAGACCCTCGAAGTCCCAGTGCAACCCAGACATATCGTCGATTTTAATGTAAAAAAATTCTTTCGCATCAATATTATATATATCGACAGGACTACATGTAGCAATAAGAGACATGTAGGCAAACGATTGCTTGTTAACTCATTGACTGGAGCTAACTCTACTACCGAAAGCTGAAGTCCGTTGGAGATATGGCTGCCCCGGCCAAGGTCTTTATAAGTACAGGTCTCGTCACTTCGGGGTGATGCGCAGCTTTGGGTGATAAAGCATATGACGTCACTAGGAGGAAACTGAGAGCAGGGGCGATTAGAGCATGATAGGGTGGGAGGGAGGTAATAGAAATCGGTAGTAAATGAACAGATATTTAAGTAATTTTAGATGACACGTTGAACAATTTGCATATTGGACAGATTTTACAGACGACGATTATCAGCGACTGTTTATAGGTCTATATAACATATTTTACGTGAATTTAGTTTTGTAATTCTCATGTTGCAGCTTAGATATGACATAATAAAGACGTAAAATAAACAAAGAAGACATGACATGTAAGCTCCAAATGTTTCTGACGAATTTATTATAAAACAAATCATACAATAACAATAATGGTGATAATAATAATGACAATACATAAATATACACATACATATATAAGACGCAACCAACCACTGGGCACTGAGGCTTTGCGCGCGCCAGTCAGTAAGCGAACGAAAACGGGAGAGCGAGGGAGATTCTTCCGGCTCGACATCACATCCAAGAATGACCACACGATAAGCGCCGAACCCCGATGCTCTTCCTCCTAGTGACGTCATGCGCGAGACGGACGAATTTGAGTCGCTTAGTGACGAGACCTGTACTTATATAGACCTTGGCACCGGCAACCTTATCTCCAACGTGAGATCACTGTTATTCGCATCGCATGCAAAATGACCTAAGTAGATGTTTTACTATCTCTTGACATACGCGACCTTTGTTAATTTTTTGTGGATTTACGTTCTCTGCTTTTGTTAGATTTCTCCGAATAATTTGAGAGGGTTATTCAATTGGTTCATTTCTCACATAAGATCAACTCAAATCCGGATCGGCCAGAACTCTCAGTGAAGGATAAAAGTGACCAGTGAGGCCCGGTCTCAGGAGCGAGAGAGGGAGACCGTATGTATGAAGCTGTCTCTCTCTTCATATAAAAAGCAGCTCACTTCTGAAGTTCCTACTGCAAAAGTTCTTCCAGCGCTTGTGACTGATCAAGATGAAAGATCGGGATACGAAACGATCTCAGCTAGAAAAGTGTCACAAGTGCTGGAACTTTTGCAGTAGGAATTTTAGAAGTAAGCTGCATTTTTATATGAAGAGAAAGGCAGCTTCATACCTACGGACCGGAAAAAAAAATCCCTATAGCAAAAACTGGGCTGAGTATAGTGTTGCACTGACTCGGCTACAGGAAGTTCCAAACGATTTTTGACGATTGTTGTCAGATGTAGGAGTTTATTGTGTGAGGAACGAGGGATAACCCAAAGGAAAATACATTTAGAAAGTTCACGCGAAGAGAACGCACAGCAGTGTCCAGTCTGTTTATTTCTTCATCAAATCTCGATAGCAGAAGAATTTCCAAATTGATATAGTATGCCTCTTGCAGCTGTGAAACATTCCGGACGCGCCGTAATGGTCCAGCGTGGCATACAAGACCAGCCGTTAGAAAGGTCGGCATGGACTCATTAGTGAGTCTGTGACGAACAAACGCCAATACAGTTTACCAGTGATTGATTTAATAATTAGCCGATGATATTGCCAATAAATCAGCGTCCAGCGAACGATTTTCCCAACAAGGAACGGAGGCATCCAATTGCTAAACTAATTATGGTTGGCGACAGTGACTGCACAAACATAACAATTAAGCGTGGATAAAGTAAGCGTGTGTGTGCGAGACAGATTGTAAGTGTTTACCTGAATGGGTGTGTATAAGAAAAAAGATAGAGATAGATAGATAGATAGAGAGAGGGAGAGAGAGGTGGGAGGGAGAGGGAGAAAGAGAGAGAGAGAGGGAGAGAGAGGTGGGAGGAAGAGAAAGAAAGAGAGAGAGAGAGAGAGGTGGGGGGTAGAGAGAGAGGGGGGGGGGAGAGAGAGAGGGGGAGAGGGAGAATCGTATAACTTCGTATAATGTATGCTATACGAAGTTATTACGGTGCATTGTCTGTCTTTGTAGACTGGGTTTCCTGTCGGTCATCCTTATTCTGTTTTTTTCTCTGCATGTATGTTCGTATAACTTCGTATAATGTATGCTATACGAAGTTATTACGTGCACAAACATAACAATTAAGCGTGGATAAAGTAAGCCTGTGTGTGCGAGACAGATTGTAAGTGTTTACCTGAATGGGTGTGTACAAGAAAAAAGATAGAGATAGAGAGATAGATAGAGAGAGGGAGAGAGAGGTGGGAGGGAGAGAGAGAGGGGGAGAGGGAGAATCGTATAACTTCGTATAATGTATGCTATACGAAGTTATTACGTGCACAAACATAACAATTAAGCGTGGATAAAGTAAGCCTGTGTGTGCGAGACAGATTGTAAGTGTTTACCTGAATGGGTGTGTACAAGAAAAAAGATAGAGATAGAGAGATAGATAGAGAGAGGGAGAGAGAGGTGGGAGGAAGAGAAAGAAAGAGAGAGAGAGAGAGAGGGGGGAGGGGGAGGGAGAGGGAGAGGGAGGGAGAGAGAGAGAGAGAGAGAGTGAGAGAGAGAGAGAGAGAGAGGGGGGAGGGAGAGGGAGAAAGAGAGAGAGAGAGGGAGAGAGAGGTGGGAGGAAGAGAAAGAAAGAGAGAGAGAGAGAGAGGGGGGAGGGGGAGGGAGAGGGA